AACAAAACTTCATTTGAGATGTCTAAGTTGGTGAAAATGACCCATAACCAAAAATGACCCATAATCACAACTTCCCAAAATACCCTTGACTTGTCAAAGCCATAACTTGAGTTCTATACATCCAATCATGGACTTCTAGCACTCTATGGAAAGCTAAGAGGATAAGGAACAACATTCATATTGACAAAAAGTTCATATAAATCATCCTTCTAGGGCAAAAGTTTCATGCAAGTTGGGTAACTTTCAAGCTCCAAATTCACATGCCTCAGATGACTTGTAACTTGTCTGGCTCATAACTTGAGTTCTATAAACCCTATCAAGGATTTCTAGTACTCAAATTAAAGCTAAGATCATACCCTACAACCATCATGTTGGGGTCAAGATGAGATGACAATCATATCTTGAGCTAAATTGCCTTGAAGACAGGGGTCAAACTAGGGGATTTTACACTGTCAAGTCTTAGAAACCCTAGCCTGAAACTTCTCAAGCTCTTCAATCATGATGAGTTGACCTTGGAATCATCCTTATAACATCTCAATGTATCAATACATGATCACATGGCTCTTGAATTAAGTCTCAACTTCCTTCAAATCATCAGTTGACTTAGGGTTGACCCAGTCAAACCCTAATTGCACCACTCATGGCTGAGTCTTCTCAATCTTACACAATGACCTGTCTTGGCCTCAAAGTGATCTTCAACACTTCTCATGAGCTCTCTCAAGACCTCAAGTCCATTCTCATAATTTCTAAACTGTTGATGGAAAAATTTAATTTGAGTAAAAAGTGGAAGAAATTTTTTATTGTTTATTCTAAATTTTCGATAACAAATTAAATTTCTGGTAGTATATTCTTAAATTGTTGATATGAATTTTTTATCGTTTTTTTTAATTAACATACTGTCTTTTTTGATAAATCCGGTATTTGTTTTATTTCTTTAGAGTTTTTAAAATTTTGGTAGTTCATATTCAATAAGAAAAAAAATTAACATTATCAGATTCTAAAAAGTGTTGTAATTTATAAGAAATTTTGAAAAGTGTGGTAGTTTACTAAAAAAAAAATTGAAATTTCCGATAGTGTATAATTTTTTTCTAAATTTTCTAAATTATTTTTCGTTTCTTTAAAATTTTAAAAAATTTTAATTTTTTTTTTGAAATTTCCGTTAAACATAATAGAAAATCTAAAAAAAATAGTAACATAAATGTAATAGCATATCCTATGTGGAGGTGCCAAGTTTAATCGAGGGACTGACAAGTTAAATCTTTAAAGAATTTCAAAAGTCTCTCGTCGAGAAGTCTGATGACTCTGTGGCAAAGTTTATGGTGTGAACCAAATGCTACATAAAAAGAAAAGAAAGCAATGAGAAGAAAAAGGCCAGAGATGCAAAACAGTACAACATTAAAGGATTGGTTCAATCCAACAACAGTAGTGTAGGAATCATTACATGTCACTCGTCGTAACGTGAATCCAATAGAAAGTTACATGATACTCAATACCATGTGTTTTGGACTGGGCTTGGGGATGGCCTTCCGTCGGATATAACCCAATCCAACTCAACGTCGAAGAAGGCCTAACACAAGCCCAATCCATCATAACCACAGGAGGGCACGTTCTCCACGTGCTCCTCACACGGTTCTCACCTGAGGACACATGGACAACTAACCCCGCGTTTCTCATGGATACGTTTTACCCTTCGTAATGGGAAAGTCGTCCACTTCCCGGAGAACGTGGGGAAGTTGACCCAGGATGAAGACCACATGTTGGTTTTCCCTACTGTCACGTAGGATCATGACAACCATTTGTTGTGGGTATAACGTTCCAGTCCACAATAGGTGACCTTTGGCCCAGCGTTCGGGGCTCTATAAATACCCTCCTCCGCAAGAGGGTCAGGTATTTTGAATCCCGTCTCACTCTGTACTTGCTCTTTCTCTTTTCACTCTGAACCTCACTTTAGCATCGGAGTGCCTTGTAGGTACACCCCCTCCTCTTCTCCGTCACCAGCGAATTTGGAGTGCACGACGTGTTGCTGGCCGCTGATTGAATCTCTGATCCTGGTAAGATCACCATGCAACAAGAATTTTGGCGTGGAAGTACTCCACACATAAATTTCATCCTGCCTCCTTTAACACCAAAGTGGGAGGTTATAAGGAACATTTAAACAAGTAATGTAAGTACTATAAAGTAAATGGTCAAACACACATATGATTGTCATCCGTTAAAGAAGAAAATATAACGCCTTATCCTTGAAGGTCATCTAAGAAGATACGTCCAAGAAACTTCTTATTGTTCATGAGGAAGGTTTATCCCTTGAGGACAATATCATCCCAGAAGCCTTGGTTTATGAGGAACAAAGAGCCAGAAGAAGGAATGGAGGATAGACCGGGCTAACACACACTTAACATTATCGTTGAAGGATTCGTTTGAGGAAGAGAATCAAGCTCATCCTGAAAGAGTTACACATTCTAGTTAATACATGTTGTGGACTTGCCTCTGCAACCAAAGTTAACTTTCAATCTTAAAATCAGCTTCTCTCAGAAACATGTGATAGACGTTCAACCACATGAATATGAACCCATGATCATTAACATATAACATCAGATTGGGACATAAAGCAAGTCTTGGAAAACCTCGGAAGCTTAGATGACGTCCTATATTGGAACATCTTCGAGATATTGTAGTTGTATACAAACAATCTACAACCATTCAAAGGTTTTTTTGCTGATTTCTCGAGCGAACAAGTTTAAGTCAAGGTTAACATATACCTCAAAACCATGTTCGGAATGCGTGAGAATTTTGATATGATTAAAATAAGATAGTGAACGCCTATTTGTAGAACAATATCATTATCACGTGTGTTTCCTTCAACATTCTAAAGGATGTCATGTCAATTCTCTATCTAACCATGAAATATCCACTCAAAAGTGGGAGGATAAGCGTTGTAAAAGGAGCCAAAAAAACCAAGATAGTTTGAGGAAAAATAGGGTGACAATGGCTATATGCACTGCACTGAAGTCTGACATCTATGGAGTAAAATTTGTCAACCTGGATCCTAGAGCAGAATATGTAGACAGAGGAAAGACTAATATCCACCGAAGATTTGAAAAAAAAGTACAAATAGAGTCACTCGAATTCCACACGCAAACACAACCATATTGCAACAAAATAGAGTTAAAAAATCAACATTCAAAGCAAATACATAAACTGAAAAAATATTAAGTTACCAGACTACGTAATAAGGATTGCAAAATGTTTGAAAAGATGAAAAAGTTGTTCTTTGGTTTTACCGAAAGATGAAAATTAAGTTAACAATTTTAGAGTACTATGACAAAACCTTGGAAATTAATCATGGAAATAAAACTATAAATCTTCCTAATAGCACGAAAATTAATTATGAAAATAAATTAATCATGAAAATTAATCTTGTGTTATTTTTGGAATTTTTAGGTCGATGAATCAAAGTATTTAGATTTTTCTGAGTTGATAAATATGTTGATGAATGAGTATTTGAATTTTTCTGGGTTAATGAATGTGTTGATGAATGAGTATTTTCGTTACTTTTCTAATCATAATTGTTAGCATGATATTTTCTTCACACTGATCCTATAGGACTTGTTGATGAATGTGATGAACGTTTTTTTTAATGGGTTTTCAGGCTTTGAATGTGATGTGATGAATGTCATGAATGTGTTTTTTTGTTTTTTCTGAGTTCAGAAAAAACAACAATGAGTTCAGAAAAAACAGCAATGGTGGTAATGATTATATGTCAATTAGATGTCACGAATGCAAAAATAAACACCAAAATAGACACCATTAGTATGAGATAGACATAAAGGATGTATATGCCAGTTTGAAAAAATAAGACATCAATTTGGTGCTTTTAAAAATTAAAGGAATCAAAATAAACCTCAAGTATATATAAGGTAGAGACGGAAAAAAATATTTAGCCTTTAAAATCAAATTAATATAGAATGTGAACTCATATTTTATTACTAAAATTGAAAATTTATTCAAATGTCGAACTCATATCTCTATAATTAAATATCTTAGCACAGCTATCAACTGAATTGACTTATCGAAACAAAAATAGAGAATATTAACCAAACATTTATATGCTAAAACTATAATTATAGACATTTCCATTTGTTCATAGAAATGGAGAGGATCATTCCTCAAACTACCTTTGCCTTCTTTTAAACACCCCTTTCCTCTTGATCCTTTTCACTTTGCACAACAACCAATGTGGTGGGTATATATCCTTGCCAAAAAAAAAGTAAAACAGACACACTTTTGATATTTTGAAACTCTTTGAACTTGTGTTTTCTATTCCCTTTAGGAGAATAAGATTAGATATAAGTAAACTTCAATATAAAAACCGTCTAATTCTAAAATTTTGCATAAAAGTTAAAGAAGGACAAAAGCCAAATGTCCTGTCACAAAACCAAGCTATTTACCACCCTAGCTAGAGAATAAACTAGAACTATCTATTATCACCAAACTATTATCTTCCATGAGAATCAATGTCTAAATTAAATAAAACTCCAAGATAATCAAATGGAGGCTTATTATCTTCCATGAGTTTCGTTTCTTCTAAGACAGATTTGGCATTTCTTCCTAACATAACCTTATCCACACACACACACAATATATGAAATGAGAAACTTAGAGAACACATTCTAAGTTTACCAAAACAACAAGAATAAGCACTTATTCTAAACTCAGTTACTATCATCAGAAAAGAAACACATGTAATGCTGCCATTATGACTCTTATTTTCCAATGCCCTGACACAAGAGAAAACAGACACTCCTACTAGGGCAGCAAAAGAAGTTTCATTAGCATACGATGAGATCAATCAGGTTGCAAATTATGAACTGTCTGCAAAAATATTCAAAATTTACAATGTAAAAGAAAACACCTTGGTTACCTACCCCTATGAACATTTTGAGGAGGATTGACCAAGATTAATAAAGAATCATAATCGTCTCAGAGAACTATTACTACTGTTACCAAGGTTTAAGGTCACCAACAGGGCCAGCAGTCCAATTCAACCTCTTATCCCCTGGTTTCAAGAATACACTTCTGTCATGTGGTAATTTTCGTGCAAGTCCATTTAAAACTTGATGGAAAGCGTCTCCAGATTGCGCAGGTTGAGGGAATAACATTGCCTGCTTCATAGAAGGATTAGCAAGCAATCTCTGTTTCCTTAGTATAACTTCTGGTGGGATCGATGTGAGTATGGTATCCAACTTAGGAACATCCTGTTCATCAACAAACACCCCAATCTCTTCCCATGGTATTGCGTCGGCAAACGGAAGAACAATATCATCTGCAATAATAACAGGAATGCAACCAAATACCACAGCTTCAACCAATCTTGGGCTCCACGGGGCCCATCCAAGTGGGCATAGACAAAACACAGCTCTTTGCATGTCCTCGTAGTATGTTGTTGGATGCTCAGTCGAAATGTCAAATAATGGATTGTCCTTAAAGTTCTCCCAGACTGCTGCTCTCGCTCCTCTGTAAAATTTAAAAATTACAGCCAGTCAGGATTATTTGTTGTAGTCAAAACATCAACACATGCATGCATAGTTGATATTCAATCAAAATTTTAGAATTAACTAATTGTAACCCTAAATATTGAATACAGTAAATCTCAATTTTAATGACGCCACTAAATACAACAATTATATATTTATATAACTCAAAATTGCCAGGTAAGTGCAGTTCATATCGTAAAAGAATGTGTGGACATTGGTGCGTTGGGGCATGAGTTCGAACCCGCAACACCCCTCTTTTCTGCACTTAGTGCGTGAGATTCACCACTAGACTCTTTGAAACAAAAATTAATGATAAAAAAAAAATCAAAATCACTCCCTATTGCTTTTTGGGTAAAAGGATACCAAGCCAGCATTCTTATTTTTGTGCATACATAATATTATAATAAATAAAAGGATGCGTACTCAAACACCCTCATTTGAAGTTTGTATCGGTAATAATATCTACCTTGCATAGTAACCACCTTCGGGGTCATTTCCAACATCATAAAACAGTCCTCGGAAGTACACAAAAATTGACCTGGGAGTCTTATCAGGAATCAAGTGGGTATGCATTTTCTGTGGTGGAGCATAAGGAGGAATGGTGATTGAGCCGTCTTTCAAGCACACATGATTCCTCTGTCCAAATGTTTGTACCAAGGTGGCACGTTGCAGCAGTGGAAGAATCCCTCTTTCAATTGCCTTCTCTTCCTGGAACAAAATAATAAATAAATAAAGGAGCATGTTACATGATATATGTGCAGTATTGGAATGCTCAAAGTAGCACTTAGAGTGATATGAACAATGAATTTTAAAAATTGTATTCTAAACTCATACTTGGTAATGAAAACAAGCTGCAAAATCATGGGGAACCACAAAGAAATGATCAGCTCCCTCTGTTCGGTTCCAATAAGGCCAGTTTGAAGAAATAAGTTGTATTGCACTTCTCATCATTCGTGGTGACTTAAAGGGTAAAGGGAGGCCATTTGGTGTCAAGTCACAGGTGGTGTATACAGGGGTATAAAACCAATCAGCTTCTTCAGGATTAAGGGTTCGGACAGCGCTAGATAAGATAAACCGGTGCATATAGATCTCAGCAGCAAACATATGGGCGAGGCATCTTGGGTCCTTTTGAAGAATTTTCTTATTATATTTACTTGGAAGTTCGTAAACAAAAACCTTCAACCTTCCGACCGGATCATCTTCCAATACATCACCAGCACTACCTACAATTTGTTCAACTACTACATGCTTAGAGTATTTAATAAAATGAAATATCAGTTTAAATTAACTACCCTCACACATAGAAGTTAAAGAAACGTCATAACATTTAAAAGTACAAATTATGAGAAAAAAGTGTTATAGGCTTTATAAGTTTCGAAAAGGAAAAGACAGTAGTAAGCTATTGTGACTGAAAGGTCGTCAGCAGTTTGCATGTGTTTCAATCTTTAATATAATTTATAGTTCCTGTTAGTAAACCAAATTAAAATCTCCGAGAATGAGAGGGAATCAGGGAAGCATTGGAATTGCCCATACTTTGATTCCATGGTAAAATTGCAACTTAGGAACCAGCAAAAATGCACCAGGGTTCAGCAAGGATTCAAAGTATGAGCAAGGGTGTGTGCACCATGAGGGGGAGTAGGAACAATCTATTGAAAGTACAGAGCCTATAGACAAAAGGATTTCCAAAAATATTTTTGAATCTATTCAAAAATGCACCAGGGTTCAGCAAGGATTTAAAGCATGAGCAAGGGTGTGTGCACCATGAGGGGGAGTAGGAACAATCTACACCAATCTATTGAAAGTACAGAGCCTATAGACATAAGGATACCAGTAATATATCCTTCTACGAGGGTGTGTGCACTATGAGGGAGAGTAGGAACAATAAATTTCACATGTTCATTGGAAATCAAGCACAACCTATTTATAACCGCAAGATTCAATTTTGCTTGCACTATCTTTAAAGCTTCACTACCTATGCAACATCTTCCAAGCTCTAAAACTAGCTTCCAACATTGAACCCAAGGACTGCTATAAGGTAGGCATTGCGGCGGCTTCGGCCCCTGCCAATACTTTCGTAACTCTTAACAAAAGTTCTACCAAATTGTAGCAACAGTATCTAACTATTCAGATCTTAATGTTCAATGCAGATTCACAGAAGAACCAATGCTTTATCATTGAAATTACAACATTTCAAACTAAACAAAATCAACAACCAATGCATCAAATATCATAATCAACCTAAATCAAAATCAGATCTTAATCAAACACATTCACAAAAACCATAACTTCATAATCAAAATATCCAAAACCTCAACAATAAATAACCAAATCAACAAAAATCTACCTGAAATTCTTTCAGTAGGCTGATTCCTACGAAGCTCAACAGCATCAATTGAAAAGAGAAAAGCAGCACAAAAAAGCCCCAAAAACCCCAATTTCCAAGTACCCATTTTTCCGTTCCCAAAAAACAGAACAACAACAAAGGTGATACTGTGCTAGTTCAATTCTTGAAAACAAGTAATATAAAGAAGTGAAATTGAACGAAGAGAAGAAGGTTACGATGTCATAAGGGAAAGTAGTTGTGAGGAAAGGGAAATGGATTTTGCTGTGAAGCAACAGAGACAGATTAGAAGAGTGAGGAGGGGGCAATGAAGAAGAGAGAGAGGGTTTGAATAGAAGAAACAGAGTTGAAAATTGAAGAGTGATGAAGAAGATGAAGGTGAAAATGGTTTGTGTCAAATTTGATGTTAAGTCAATTTCAAACAACCATTTACACCAACTATTGCTTTTTGGGTTTAACTTCTACTAGCTTTTTCTTTTGATTTTCTTTTTGATATTTTTAATTAACTTTTTATTTTTTACTTTTTTATTTAATAGGTTCATACTACAATAATCTAGTCTTTTTAGTATACACATTAGGCAAGTTTATCTATTTTTAATATAAAATGGTTTAGTGCTTGTATTTTTAAATATTGAATCTCGTTTGATTTTATTCTTGTTAAAATTCTCAAAAAATTTATAAGTTTTTTTTGGATTTTAAATTTAGATATTAAAATTAAAAAAAATTAACAATTAAAAATTATTTTTAAAAAATACAGAAAAAAAAAACACGTCAATTTATAAGAATCACTCTAACTATAAAATGTAAAATTTTAAATTTTGCCAAACAAAGAAAAAGAAAAAATTGATGAGATAGTTAGACTAGTATTTGTTAATTGGTAGAAACAAAATCCAATCATTGATGCATTGTTCCTTTATAATTAAAAAAATCATAAAAACTTGAGTTAAAATTTTTCCCTCCGAAAAATTGTTATATAGTATTTTGTTGAGAATGTGAAAGGAAAATAAAGTATTTTATTAAACCATTTTTCTTAATATAAAGGTTCCGTGGAAAAGAATTGAAGACAGAGAAAATTAAGAGAATGTTTGTTAGAGTTGACATTGAAACTCAAGTTTTATTTTACTCAATAAACATTTTATGAGTAAAGTATCCAAAAATTTGAGTGGTACTTGGGAGCTACTTAATATTCACTCTTCTCCAAACTTATATTATATAAAAACTCTCCATTTTTTTAATTATAAATAGTTTTAATATATATATATATATATATATATATATATATATATATATATATATATATATATATATATATATATATATATATATATATATATAAAATTAAAAAATAATAATAAATACTAAGAATATAATAAATAATATTATTAATGATTTATTAGTATTATGAAACGACTTATAATTTGTTATAAAAAAATTTCAAAAGGACTTATAACAAAAAATGGGTGAGTATTTACTATATATTATAATTTTTTTATTTTTATCATAAGTCATTTTAAAAAGTGATTCTTTTTACATGAAAAAATAAAAATATTATAATTTTTTAAATAAAACTACACTTTGTTAATGATATAAAAAAATTTAAAAATTATAAAAGAGAGAATAATAAATATGTAAGAGTATTAAAATGTTATTATGATAAAACGATTTATAATTTAGTATTTTTCTAGAAAAACTTACAATATAAAATAAAAGAAATATAGATATTCTCTCCAATGTAGCTACTTTTTTTCAAAGACATACGTACTCCATAATTCTTTATTATAAGCAAGCTTTAGTTTTTTAAATTTATTTTATAATTGATGTATCTTATCTATATATAAATAAGATATATTTATTATTTAATGAATCTAAAAAAATTAAAATTTATTTATAATAAAGAATGGAAAGTGTTATGTTATACAGTAAAACGATGATCGAAGAGGTTGAACTGATGTAGTGTTGTAGTGGTCCAAGATTTTGAAGCGGTGGAAAGAGACTGATATACAAGGTTAGCAATTCAAAACTCAAGTCAATATGAAAGTGAGAAATCTTATGCCAATAGGAAGTGCATATCTGGAGAATGGGTTGTTAACTCCTTTAAATAGGAGAGTTACTTAACAATTAAATATGAGAGTGAACACAAGATGCGAAGGACCGTTATATGTATTTAAATGGTGAGGACGAGTTTTACGATTGAGATAATATGGGTGTTGTGAGGCATATAATTGCTCTATCCTTGTCTTGCTTTGTCTCCTTCTGGGTGTTAGCCGTTATGCTTTTTGAGCCTCTTGGTTGGCTAAGAACAATTTTCCCCTAAGTCCATGTCTTCTGTTATGCAAAGCAAGGCTTTCTAATGAGTGACTTCTCCCGGTTATGACGTCATAAAGTGGAGATCCCTGATGGAACATTTTCGTTCTTGGGAAATATCGAGTTTGAATAGTGCTTTTATATGACGTTGTGAGGTACGGAGGATGATTGACACATATCCCTTATTCTAGCTAGAAATCATACTATGCCTACATTTAGGGTACCTGAGTGTCTTTTGAACGATTTTAAGTATATATTAACCGTTGATGGTGGAGAGTGATCGCACAGTCCTTAATTTTCCAAAAAAAATTCACCAGTTTCATCTTTACCTTTTCAGTCTCCTATTTGAGCTACAGGGCTCTCGCATTTGAGCTTTCTGCCATCTTTTTCGTTTAACCATTTTAGGATTTTTGGGACATTGGGTGCTTTGAACTTGTTCCCCTTGCTTGTTGTTCCTGCATTCGTTTCCTAACATCTTTAATCATGGTGATTACGTTTATTTTAACCAAGAAAGTCGATAAGGACATTTCGAGAGTTTGGGTAAATTCAGAGATATCTAAAGTTGTTTCTATTTTCCATCATGGTGACATTTTTACATAGGCTATGATTGACGTGGGTTCGTCAAAAGATTTAGGTGTTTTTCCACTAGATGCATGAAGATCAAAGGGTTTTTGGTTAGTATGTTGGGCGTGTGATATTGTTCCATGAGTGCATGTTCTCGCTCATTGGTTATTGTTTTCCTTTCAATGAGTTCAAAGTCAGTTTTCTAAACAATTTACTCATTTCCCCCTCGCAATTTCACCCCGTGAGTTGGCCATTAGTTAAGGTTTTCTAAAACTGGTTAAAATATAAAGGTAGTAAGCCAACTCTGATATTGTTCTTCCACATCTTCAAAGTATAAAGAAGTTCTAAATCTACGAATGGTTTCAGTTTGGTTTCATAAAGGCAAATTTTCAAATACTTTGAGACTTACTCTAATATTGTGAAACATTTAAAAGCCTGATTCTTCCTGGTAGTTCAACTCAATAGCGAGGCCCACTTGAAGACTTGTCGCTTAGGTCTCAGATCTCTTTTTCAAATATTGGACTAGGGTCATTTTTTTAACTAGAGACGAGATTTACAGCTGCCGAAAGGAATATTTTCCCGAAGAGGAGTTGTATTTTAAAGCCTAGTTAGTGTCCTTCTGTCAGGAACTTGGTTATATAGGGGGTGGTTATGTCGGATCTGGCCTGCAAGACCAGACTAAAAAGGTGCATTCAGACAAGTTGGCTTGTGGATGCCAAATCTAAAGATGACAGGAAGAAAATATTAGGTGGGTGACTTTAAAATTTCATCAGAATGGTCACCTTCTCTCTCTCTCTCTCTCTCTCTCTCTCTCTCTCTCTCTCTCTCTCTCTCTCTCTCTCTCTCTCTCTCTCTCTCTCTCTCTCTCTCTCACACACACACACACACACACACACACACAGAGAGAACCTTTGAAAAAATGGTTAAAAGTAGCTTTAAATAGAAAATTGTGTGTCAGACAAAAATTGTGCCATCGCGCCGCGACAAGTCAGTATCGTGCCACGTGGCTTATATTTCTTCCTTGGTGCGATGTATCCCATCGTGACACACAATTTTCACAAATTATTTCTCCCTTTTTTTTCAAAAATTTCACTAAGTCTTTGTTTCTTTCTTGCATTGGTTGCTCAATTTTCACACTCTTACATGGCTTTTAGTCATTATTCTTCTGAATTCATCTGAATTTCCTCATAAAAAACATGTAATGACGGTTGTCATCACAACCCAAAACTTGAATTCTTGCTTGTCCTCAAGTAACCTGTCTACACAGGGAACATTTCATCAGAATTAAAATGCTTACTCTTACCAATGAGTGTCACATTTTCCCGATCAACGCTTCAGTTCCCTGCTTCGATCCGATCAACTCAAAAAATTTCTTCCAACATACAAGTACTCAACCTATCTTCCATTTCACAATTATGCACTCAATTTGACAGGGTAATCACTTAATCAACACACAAAAGCATTTAAAAATGAATTTGAAAATTTTCTAATCGAATCAATTAAACTTATATGTAAAGACACACTTTTGTGGTCTTTTACAAGAACACGACTTATGTCAGGGTATGATAATTTAGTATAGTAGGATTAAACCTTTAGAGTTAGGTACTTAGTTTTCTCAATATTATCGAATTCCTTCCATATCACTCTTTTATAATTCACTTAATACTAGAGAATTTGCATATTGTTGGTCCTACTTTTCCCAAAAATTTTTTTTGAAGAAGCTATTTTAACTTATTTTTCTTTATTTTTTCTTTTTGACCAATTTCTCTAGTACCCAAACCCCAAACTTATTTGTTGCTAACTTTAAAGTTCATCAATCCTAGGAAAATGATATTTGTTCTAAATAGTAACCTTATTCAGTTGTCGATAGTCAACACATAGCCTCATACTACCATCTTTCTTCTTTACGAACAACACTGGAACAACACTTGAATTTAGCAACATAACATATTCGTGCATTATCCCACCAGTATTCGGTCTCCTCTGATATCATATGAGTACTAAACATGACCTTCTGAGCATCTACGCAAGTCATCACTCTAAAGATTTTCTCAATCTTTTGCAACCAAACTTGACCACCCTTTGGATCATACCTTCCTTTGAAGGTTGGCAGATTGTTTCTCTAAAACTTGCTCAGCCCACGAGATTTGACACTCTCAGCCTGTGGACTCTACTGAGCTTGCAAAGCTTGTCCCATCACATGAGCCATAACTTCCAAAGCATCAACGATTACACGATTGT